ATCGACGCAGTCAATGTATTCATATGGAAATACACCTTTTCGCGTGAGTAATTCAAACTCTTCATCCGATAATGTTGTAAATTCGGAACGTACAATTTTTAATATGTCTTTATCGAGATACGACGCCAATTTTTCTAAACTTGTACTGAGAAATTTGAAAGAATCAATAAATCTTAATTTTACGCAATTTTTCTGAAAATGATTTTCATTTTTGTCTTTGGTGCTATCGATATGTTTCGTGAATGATATGTATTTTTCTTTCGTAATCGGTAATACATCTACATTTCCATCGTACGCGGTAGCTATTTCTTTGATTATGAAATGAGCGTCGTACCCCGATAAATTATGAAATACAACTGGAATATACATCAAATTTTTATAATTTAAATTGCAATTTGAATGCGCGGGACCGCGGTATCTACCGGTTAGATTACAATGATCGCGGACCCGCGTATCGTCCGACGCGAACGGCTTATCGCAAATATGACAACGCGTCGCGCTGCGGTACGCCTCCCATTGATGCTTGGATAACGCTTCCATGGACACGTTGGCGGATATAACATCTTTGACGCGATGCGTTAAACTTCTGAGTTCCTCGGTGAACCACGCTATACAATTTTCGTCGCGACGGAAGTGATATGACGACAACGAGTTGTCGTGCGAGCAACGCACGTAGTAGCCCACACTGCATACCTTGTGCCGCTGATACGCGTACGATGTTGACACGTCTACCTTGTCGGGCTCCGTCTTCCGCAGGACACACTCCAGGTCAGCGTAGACGACGAACGGCACACGTTCCTGGTTGCGGTGATTGCTGAATTCGAGCTATCTGTCGTTCTCGCTCGGCAGGCGGATAGCGCAATCGTTCAGTTTTTGGCAGTCCTGGCTGTGGATCTGCAATTTCTCGCTCGAGCCGAAGTAATGCAAGCATCTGTAAATAGAGAAATTATTTTTTACATATTGTTTTTTCTTATTATGTTTACTTTTTTTTATAATACTTACCGATCGCAGAAATATTTCTTGTTTTTTTTCCTGGTAAGTTGCGAGGCGCGACAGATTCTTGATCCATGCGAAATGGCCCACATTGTCGTCGCGCGGATCTTGCAGATACAGGAGATTGATATGCTTCTCCTTCTTATCGCTGGTG